CGGCCGCGGAAGCCGCTGCCGCCCATCAACGTGCCGGGCATGGTCCTGTACTCCGATGACGACAGCGAGGAGATAGACAGGCTCGTGGAGAACGCGCTGGACTCCTCTTTGAGGAACGAGAAGGCGAGATCGCAGGAGCGGGACCCCGAGTGCTGGTTCACAGGGAGGAGCACGTGTTCGGACAGAAACAGCAAACCGCCCCCACGGCCCGCTTCTCTCAGAAGCAAAGTCGTGTTCTGCGAGGGATCCAAGACCGAGGGGCCGAGTGTTCACAAGAAAGAAGTTTTAAAGGGAAAAATCTGCTCGACTAAAGACACGCTGACCTTCAGCCAAGACCAAAGGCACCAAATACAAGAGGCGTCAGCAAACGTGATCAAAGGCATTTTGACGGAGATGCTCAAGGAGCAGCCTCCTCCTCCGGGCCCCTCGGGCGGGAGGGCCGGCAAGGACACCGCCGTTCTCCTCTCCGGGAAGCCCCGAGGGCTGCCGGCTCAGGGCCACTGGGACCAGCTGTTCTCCGTGGGAGAAGTGAACACGGTGGCTCAGGACATAACCGAGGCCGTGATCAACATCCTCCACGAGGCACTGAGCCGCATCCCCGGCACCCCCAGAAGTTCCATCCTACCCGCCAGGCGTCAGACTCCGCTGGGCCGTTCTCACACTCCCGACGTGGCCAAAGAGGCGCCACATAAAAAACCACTGAAAATATGGTTTGACAGTGAGAAGAAAGTGAAGTATTTGTCTTCACTTGACGTAGGCCCCGAAACCCCTTCCCTGTTCGGGTCTGAGACATGTGAGCCGAAGGCTGTAGATGACATCTCGGGGGACATCATTGACACGGTGTTCAAGAAGCTGAAGGGACTCGTTTACCCAAAGCTGCACGTGGGCTCCACACCGCCCTGCACAGAGCCGTCCTCGCTGCACCGCCAGCTGAGCGCCTACACGACCAAGGTGGTGGGCATCGTTCTGCAAGCGATCCAGAACGAGCTGGAACTCGATCAGAAAAGCCAGAGCCCGCGGGAAGCCGACGACAGCAAGCCCCTCCGAGGCGGAGAGTTCTCGGCTGACACTGACGACGCGGATCTCAGCAAGGACATCAAGGCCTCCCCATTGCTGACTTGCATTTGCGAGATGTTGTCAAGCGCACATTCCGACCGGAGCAGCGTCTCCCTCCCTCCCGATGAGCCAAGGCCTTCGGTGGCGTGTGGGCTGGACGATGTTGGCAAACCACCCACGCTTCCAAGTCGGCAGGAGAAACAAGCTTTTTACCAATGCTTGGCGACTCCATGTGCCATCCACAGCGACCCCCGTGGAAAAGACCTCAAAGACCAGGGCAAACTGCAAGTGCTGGACAGCATTGGGGAAACCCTGTACGAGATGCTGTGCAAGCTCCTGGGAGCCCGCCCGGAGGGCCAGCCACCCCGAGAGAAGACGAGTGAGAACCGGGGAGTGGCCATGAAGCTGCACCCTAAACTCCAGCTCCTCTCCCAGACCATCCTGGACGGCATCCTCGCGAAGCTGTGCAGGGTCGACGCGGACACCAGCTGCGCAGGTTCTGGGATGACAGCTGCCTCCGAGTGCCCGGATATCGATAACCTATCGTTCAAGTCGATCATTGAGGAAATGGCCAAGTGCACCGACATCATCTCCGGCATCGTGTCCAGGATGCTGCGGGAGAGTAACAGAGAGGAGACGGGCAGGGACGCGAAAACCGTTGCTCCCGGGCCTTGCAAAACAGGGAGCACGAGAGAAACGCATCCAAACAGACTGACGACCTTGGCCACCGACATCCTCAACGGGGTGTTTGCGAAGCTGGAAGGGTTTGCCAGTGGCAACCTAGGAGGCCTGGACCCCATCAGCAAGGGACACAAGACCCGCGCCCAGGTGGACCTGCGGTGCGACGGCGCCAGCGAGGCCGTGGACGCCTGCGAGGAGCTGCTGCGCTCGGCGCTGTACATGCACGCCAAGAAGGCGTCCAGCACCATCCTGAAGGCCATCCAGACGGAGCTCGGCGGGAGCCCCGGGGACCTGCGGGCCAGCGCCAAGAGCCCATCCCCGGAGAAACAGCTTCTGAAGAATGTGATCAACTTGATTATAGACGTGGTGTCCTCAGATGTGCTGGACGACACCGAATCCGAAGAGAGAACCATGGAATCCTGCGGGTACCGGCCGACCTATGGGAACTTCCTGCCCGGAGGGGCCGAGCCAGACCCGAGTCTAGAAGACGCTGCGCCTGCGGAGAAGGAACTTGGAGCCGAGGGAACCCTCCCGAGGGGAGAAACGCAACCGGGTTCTCTGAAGCAGTGGGTTCTGGAAAGGACCCTAAACAAAATTGAAAGGAAACTGAAGGAGCCACAGAAATCTCCCATCGTGCCCATCATCAGGAACATTTTGAACGAGATTTTCCAAGGGGCTCTGGTCAACCAATTAAACGTGCTTTCTCTCTCCTGCCCTCCGCTGGGGGGCGCCCCGTATGATGTGGGTGGCGAGCCGCTGGCACCGACGTGGGTCCCCTTCATCGACCAAAGGACGGGCCCCTTGGTGTCCGAGGCCGACGTCACCATCGTGGTGGGTGATGTGGTCACGACTGTGATGCATAAGCTTTACGCAGCGGCCATGATGCAGAGAAACGCCGGTGAAAACAGGTACAAGACCATCACCTTTTCAGCGAATGTTTCTTTCCACGTCCCCGCCTGCGGGGAACAGTCCTCAGTCTCTGTGCTGGATGGGAATCCATGTCCTGTCCCGCCCAGACTCAACGCCAAAGGAAACGTGGCTGAAGATATCATCCAGGAGATACTAACAAACCTAGAAACCTTCGCTACTTACAAAGTAAAATCTCTCTTTTGTCCCCAAATCAAGTTCACAGTCCCAGTGGCTTTCCCTGTGCAGCAAGGGAAGAGCATTTTGAGCAAAGCGTTGTCCGCCAAAGGCCTGTATCCGGATGATGGGTTTTCTCCCTGCTCCGTGGATCGTTTTCTGGAAAAGACCAACTCGTGCCAACTTTCTTTAAATAAACTAAACACACACGCAACAGAAGTGGCCAGAAAAATTTTACAAGGCATCAAACACGAGTTAGATAAAGAAAGGGAAAGTCCTTTCTTAACGCACAACATCGTGGTTTCTGAAGGGATCGCGAGTCAGATCGTGAACACGGTGTTAGAGATCGTCTCATCCAAAGGCAAGTTTGACAAACACAATTCTGACGAAGAGCTTCACTCAGGTCTGCAGGAAGGCGTCATTGAAAGGATGTTCAACAGGACTGAGTATCGCAAAGGGCTTCAGTTCCAAATACAGGATGTCATGGAAGGCATCCTGTGCGACATTTATGAAAAAACGCTGCATCAAAACAACCTGGCCTTCGCCACGCCCATGCCGAGAGGCCTCACAGCCAGGAAACATCCAGCTGTCGACGCCGGGCTGTCCATAGAGGGTGCCAACGAGATCGTCCCACCACTTTCTGTCCCCAAGTCGGACGTCATGCTGATCTCCAACGACATCGTGGACCTTGTGCTTCATAACCTCAGCTCGGCCGTCACGCTCGGCACAAAACCAGAGCGTGCTCCTCCGGCACGACTGCCCCTTCCCTCCTGTGATATGTTCCCACAAACAGAGTGCCAGCTGCCTCCGCTCACGGGCTCACGGAGTGAAGGAGACACAGAGCGTTTTTCATCGTCAAACAATGTGAGGCCCGCGTATGCTGTGGCGAGTCAGATAACTGTGGTAGGGAGGGAAGACCCCACGAGGCCCGCCCCTGACCCCTGTGAGGAAAACGCTCACTTCATCACCAAAACTATCGTCAACCAGCTAGAATCTTTCGCCACCAAAAGAATAGACTCATTAATTACTCTTGCTTCCCAGCCCACAGAGAAGTCCTTTGCTAGCCCTGGCCTGGAGCCCTGTGAGCCCGAGGACAGCGTTTTTCGTGAGCCAAGCCAAAAGGCGTCCAATGTGAACGTCCTGAAACTATCAACGGAAACTGTTCTCAGCCACGAACTTGCAGACCCCGCGTTTGCGAGTTACGGACAAAAACGGGGATCCACCATTCACCTCTCCCAAACCAGCCTTAAGGAATACGCGGACGTCATCGCCAGTGTCATTCTGAAGCTTATTAAAAACGACTTGGACCTGGAAATCCAAAGGGCATGTCTACATCCAAACAATATCTCCTTCCAGGAAAACGTCGTTGTGAGTGAGATTGTCAACAACACCTTAAAGGTTTTGAACGCTAAGAGGTCTGTAAATGAACTTCAGTTTTACACAAAAGACCATCCTGGCGCATTTGCACCGTTAGCTGTACCCAAGGAAATGCTGTTAGGACAAAGAGAGCTGGACCAAAACACCAAGTTATCTCTGTTTTCACAGTACCCGTTCGAACAAAGCCAACGGGCAGTGGGAAAGGAAAGCCAGAGAGTTGTTTTGGAAGAAATATTTATGAGACATGGGGAATCCAAGCAAAAAGAAAAGGCTGCCTTGCTCACTCCAGTGAAAGAGGTTTTAAGGAAAGTGTACCAACAAGTAATGAAAATCAAAGGCCACCTGCCTCCATTCAATGAAGCCCCCTACTCGGCATCTAACTCTAAAGCTAAAACATCAGACGTAACACACAAAAACTTCGTCCAGTCCCATATTAACGGCGTAGCCAACGACATAGTCGAGAGTGTTTTGGGGGAAATGTACGCTGTGGTTGTGACCTCCTTACATGAGAGTCACCAAAAGGAAGCCTTCGAAGGCAATGGCACCTTCCCTAAGCCACCGTCGTGCGTGGGAGAAGCGAAACAACCCGGGAGAGGAAGTAATTCCACGGGGTACGTGATGCCACAGGCCTATCCTTCCCCAGGCGACCAAAACACCCCCCTGTTCGAAAGCAGCTCCCAGCAGCACTCGCCGCTGCAGGTGGGGAAGGAGTTGGTCCAAACGGTGCTCGATAAGATCACACAGTTTGCCTCAGTTTACCTGGAAGAGGCCCCTGAAAGATGTGCTGATGAGCTGCAACCTCAAAGGCCCCAGAGCCTTAAAGTGAACCCGAAGGGCAGCCTCCAGCCAGGTTTTAAAACAAGTGTAAAAGCAAAGTCAAAAGTGACTTCTCTGCCTAATTTGAAGACAAAGCCGCCCCTGGGCCCTGGTGGTGCTAGGGCCAAAAGCAAGACCAAGGTGGGGCCGGGGGAGAGGACTCTGAGGAGCAGCCAGTCCAAGACCTGCCTGCGATCCTGGAGACGACCGTGACCGAGTTTGAAAAGGCCACGCAAACGAGAGCCGTGGTCAGTATGAAGGCGCTGCCGTTTGACCAAATCGGGGCAGCCAACAGGATCGTCCGGGCCGTTCTGCAAGGGGTGTGCGCGCTGGGCACCCACAGCCTGG